TTTTTTGGTTGGGTTTGTTTTTAATTCAGTCGTACACAATGGTGGCAAGACCCAGCTTCAAAGGATGTCATATCTTAGTGCTAGAGAATGAGGTGGGAAGGTGAATGTGTCTTCAAGAGTCTAGGCCTCAGGGAGATGGCTTAAAGGGTTCCATTTTGTTTCCCACAGAGGGAACAGAGGTGGTGACATGACCAGGGAAAATCAACTCTCCCCAGCAAGTTTGACTTGGTAAAGCCCAGTGGCCCTGGAGTGCTTGGGCCACGGGGAAGAGTCAGGCTAAGGTGGAAAGCTGTGGCCTGAGCTGGCCTGCCCCTCCCCCTCTCATGGTGCTAGGTTAGGGGCTATCCTGGAGCGGGATATCCATGGGGACCTATAGACTTGTCTCTAGTCCCTGCAGACACAAGGTCTCTAGGCTGTTTTCTGCTTGGGTTCTGCTCCTGCCCCCCCCCCTTTTAACAATGTGAAGTGACTGAGGCTGGGGTGCCTTTCCCTGGCCCCCCTCAACTGCCAATTCAGACACCCAGAACTTTCTGGAGAGCCTTGTCTTGTTCAGTAGACTCTGGCATCCTGGGCTTGGAAGGGTCCCCAGATGGTTGTGAAGGAGGGGAAGGGAGTTGACCTTCTTGAGTGAAGTCACCAACCTGTTGGAAGCAGGGCTGAGAGCTGAACTCAGGGCCCCTGATTCTGAGCCCAGTGTGCTTCTTCCAGTGTCACACTGCCTCCAAGCCCATCTTACTGTGTGCCAGGTTCCTGTCCCTTCCTCAGTCACAGCCGTAGTCATTCCAGGACATGGGGACAAACCACTCCTTCCCAGCCAGGTGCCTTTGAGCCTTCTTCCCAGAGCCACATCTGCTTCTCCTGCTGCGTCCTCTGCTTCAGGAGGTTCTTCCTTGCTAGTGGCCAGGCCAGTCTTTGTTCTGAGCTAGTCTCCTCAGTTCTCCACTGAGGCAGAGGGTGGGATGCTCAGGTTGACCAGCACATATGGTTTTAGTGTGCAGAACCATGTCACATCATGTTTCTCATTGGGACCTTGGAGCCTGTGGACCCCAACCACTAAATAGAGCCTGAGGACATGGTGGTGTGTCTATTCCCATGCCCTCTGACAAGCTTGAACCAGACTCAGGGTGGGTCAGAGACTTCTGCAGTGCACACCCTGAACCTTACTTCTCACCTATCAGTGAGGACATGGGCCTATGATTTGGGAGAATGATGGCTGCTTTATTCTGAAAGCATCTTCTGTTTGAGACCCTGTGAGAGCTGAGTTGGGCTGGCCAGAGTGGCCCTCAGGAAGGAGGCAGGTCCATTTCTCCTGCCTTAGCCCCAGGTAGGAGCAGTCAGTTTTGATACTCTGGATTTGGCCCATTTCCTTCTGAAAACCTGGGGACTGCACCCGCCACATGTTCTAAGTATGTAGGTGGGTACTGCTGTGTCCCTTTCCAATAATCAATCCTTTCTGAGGCCCCACTGTGCCCAGACACTGTCACAACTTGCAGATATTGGAGTTTGGGGTGTGGAGAAGCTGTCTTAGGAACTCTCAGCTATGGGCACACAGAAAAAAAACCCAAGGTGAGTCCAGGCAGCAGCATCTGCCTTGAATGCCCGCTGGTTGATTGTAAGTACTTGGTTTAAAAAAAAAAATTCAGGCTTGAGAGAAATAGCCGGAATTGTTCAGCAGCCCCCTGCCCCCAGCCCCTCTTCGGTCTCCACTAACAGTCTTTTCCTTATGGTGGGTGCAGGTGGGGATATCACCTGCAGCTGCCTTAAGTCATTCCAGGTTCTAGAGGTCTATTGGGCAAGCGTCCTTGAGAACATGGAGGATGAGCATGAAGTTAAAACGGGTCTTTTCGAGCCCTGCCATAGAGCAGTGAGCACGTCAGAGTCCTCTGGAGAAGCTGCTGTTGATGCCCTGCCGGCCTGTCCCATCCTCGAGATCACAAGTGTGTTAATGGGAAGAGCAAGTGCAAAAGAGTCTCACCGACTTTGGTTATGAATTCTGGCCACCCAGCGTTTAGATTTAAAACTGTCAGCATTTTGCCTCATTTATTTTTCTCTCTGTACATGTACATGTGTTAGCCCTGGTTTTAACAGTAAGTTGCAGATGTCATGAGACTGTCTTTACCCCTAGGCATTGCCCTAAGAGGTAGGGCCTTCTCCCAACATATCAGCAGGTGCCATAGCCAAGATGGTAGTCATTTCTTGATAATATCTGCTGTCCAGTATATACTCAAAGTCTCCCCCAATGACCCCTGAAATAACTTATACCTGGTTTTAGTATTGGATCCAGTCAGGATGCAAACACATTTTACAACTTAAAACTCTTTGCTGAAAAGTTTTCCCTTTGCCCATCTGCTTTTTTTTTAATGGTAGCTTTTTGTTGTTTTGTTTGTTCAGTTGTTTTAGACAAAGTCTCACTATCTCTGGCTGGCCTGGAACTCCCTTTCTAGACCAGGCTGGCCTGGGACTCACAGAGATCTGCCTGCCTCTGCCTCCTGTGTACTGGGATTAAAGGTGTGTTGTACCTCCATGCCTGGACCCAAATGGTATTATTTTAAGGCCAGCAGGTGGTGTGTTGTCATGTCCGGGTCTCTTCCTCCTGGTCTCATTCTGTAGCCCCTGTGTTTTCAAGGGTAATTCTGCCTTTTGTACCAACATGACATTTCCCTCCTGACTAAGGAATGCCTCCTTCCACTACCACCTGTGGCAAGCACCAAACCAGCTCAGCTTGGGAGCTCTCTGGAGAGGAAGTACCACACTGGGCTCAGGCAGATGGGACAGAGGGCATTGTAGGAGGAGACAGCAGGACTGCCCTAGGGAGGCTATGTCAGAATGACTGTTTCTAACTTGGAGGAGCAGGGCTGCTGGCTTTGACCCTGTGGAGCTGCTGTCCCGTGCCAGACATGACATCCATCTCTCTTTCCCATCTCCCATTCTGTCTGTTTTGATCTCTCTGCTTCTGTTCTATGGTCCCAGAATCTTCACTTTCTAGATGGTCTGTGTGCACTGGAGCAGAGACAGGCCTCTGACTGTACCAGGAAGGGCCCAGATGGAGAAATGCCTCCTTTAGGCTGTGGTGTGAGAACACTGGATACAGTGGATGGCCATATAACAACCTGCCACCCCCACCCCAGGCCTCAGCCTCCCCCTGTATAGAATGAAGAGATGGGGGCTACAGCAGGGGTTTTCACATGTCTGAGCAGGAAGTAACTGTGCTACATGTGAAGTGAGGATGGGTGCAACATGACCCCCTGGGATTCAGTTTTCAGGCTCTGGGCTGGATGCCCAGGCCAGCTCTGAGCAGGCTGGGCATTGACTGTGTATGGTCTCTGCTGAGGCTGAGCATGAAGGCCAGGGGAGACCCAGTGTTTTCTCCTAAGAAGCTCTCCCTCCTCTTTGGCCTGGAGGCGGCTGCAAGAGAGGGTTTTCTATGACTGAGCTAGCTTTTCTTACGGGCAAGAGGGCTCTTTTTGTAATTTGTGCATGAAATTCATGTCATTTCCTGGGGAGAGAAGAGGGTCAACTGAGCAGGTGGGGGGCACACTTAGGGAGCAGGCAGATGTTTCTTTCCCTGCAGGGGGTGGGAGAGCTTGCAAAGGGCTCTACTCAGCTGCCTAAAGGCTCTCAAACCAGCCGTTTTGGGTTGTGTTAAAGTGGAAACTTTCCTCCATTAATGTACAATCTCGAACTAACTGCTAATAAAGTGGGGTTCTGTTTGTACACATTGGTCCTGTCTGTCTGTCTGGCCTTTGCCTTCAAGGGAAAGTGGGAACAGAGGTTTGTATCATGGCCCACGTCTGCCCAGCATGTACTTTAATTCAGTTAAGCCAGATCATTTCTGCTGGGTTATAAACTGGTGCCTTTTCAAATGCAGTAGAGGCCTGCCCCAGGACAGCCCGGAGGTACCTCAGATGACCAGGAGCTTGTGCCCAGAGTGGTCACATTGCTTGATGTGGGTACTACCCCCAGAGACTGGGGCCATTTCTGCCTCTGAGGACCTTTCATGACTGTGGACGTAGCGCTTTTACTTTTGATCCTTAATTCCCTTGTCTTTTAGAAATGTGGAGGGATTTGGACTTAGTGGTCTTACCTAGAGAACTTGCTGGAATGCAGATTCCCAGGCCCTGGTTCTAGAGATTGAACTCGAGCAGGTATGGACCAGGCATTTTGAACAAACTCTGCTGTTGTTCCTCAGGGCCACCCTCCTTTTGGCGGGGGACAGAGTCTCTCACTGGCCTGGAACTGGCCAAGTAGGCTAAGCTGGCTAGTCAGGAAGCCCCAGGGATCCCTCTGTTCTGCTTCCTCATCACTGGGATTACAAGCACATGCCACTATGCTCAGATTTATCTATTGATTTATTTTAACATGGGTTCTGGGCTTTGAACCCAAGTCCTCATGCTGGCTTGCACAATAGACTTTACCAAGAGCCATCTCCCAAGAGCCTCCATACACATGTACACACACCCACATACACATTTGCACCACATGCACACAAGTATTACCTCAATTTCCAAGACTTCCAGGGAAATTTCTGCAAGACTGAGCTATACAGTGTGACCATTTGTGTAATGAAAGCACTAGTGTGTTTTTCCTGGAGTTATAAATGTGTCCTCCACCAAACAAATTGTAAAGCTGTTCTGGAAGGTGGAGAGGAAACTGGGAAGAGGAGAATTAAAAAAACAGGGGACTTCAGCTCTGCTGAAAGATTTTTTTCACACAAGGATAATGTGTTAATGCTTCACTTGTGGAATCAGATGAAAGCATCAGGAAAGGGGGCTCAAGGCAGCCTGACCTGGGTTGATGCAGTAGGGGCCAAAGCTGCTCCCCTCCACCCAGCCCTAAGGTTCTTGTCAAGTAGGGTTCTAAGGAGGAATGGAATACTGGTAGGAGACCTCTTCATTTAACTTGCCACTTGCCAAGACCCTCACCAAGAGCCTAGCTGTGTGACTGCTGGCAAGTCAGCTCCTCAC